GCCAAGGCGAGGGCAGAGCTGCCTGAGGAGCGGCCTCGGGGCAACTGCCCGAGAAACCGCGGTAGGTCGCGGCCGTGCGGGAACGCGCCTCCGCCGGCGGGGCGGAACTCGTGAAAGGCCGACTTCCTAATATGCTGCTCTGTGAGTTTACTCGGCGCTGAGGGTAAATAATTATAGTCAGTTAACTTATTTGTTGAGACGCACCCGTAGAAAGATAGCTCGGTATATGAAGTCAGGAGAAAAATACGTTCATCCTAACTTAGGAGGAAGTTAGCTCAGGCAATCTTCTAGGAGCACTGATATCCTCAAGAAAACCAGTTTATAATTACCTGACCACTGCTGATTTTCTTTTTCTCCTTCTGTCTGTATTGTTGAGCTTATCCTGGATGCGACTGCCCAAGGCAGAGAAAAACTGTAACGCTTCGGTTTACTTTTCAGCTCCTATACGACATAGCAGCCATGGGAAAAGAATGTTTATTATCAAGGCGACAAGATTTTATGATGCTCGCTTTCTGAACTTGTTGGTGAGTTAAAAAATACATTAGATTGAGTGTAACAAATCACTTGTAAATTATGTAAGAATGTCTAAAATACGATTATTTTATGTGCCAGCATCTACAGTGTGGTTGGTGCTAGTGACATAAACAGGAATTTCCACTCTTCCCCCTAAATGATTTATTGTCATATGCTGTAAAATCGGGGCAGATGAAATAAAAAGATTCAAAATTGGCTAAATGGTGAAGACTGTGTTGGGTACATCAATTAATGTTGTATTAGCATTCTTAAATTGTATGTCTGTGTTTACATTTGCATAATTTGCAAATGCCTTCCAGTTTGTTCTCCTTTCTAGACAGTGTTAGGTTACTCTACTGCAGGGTTTGCCCTCAGTTATCTGGCCCACTAACACCAGAGATCTACACTTAGGAAGCCTAATCTGAGTTAATGCTGAAAAGGTAAGGTTTGAATAAAGCCCATTATGAAGGGTAACGGCCAATCTGATACTACTCTTTTGGAGTGATTGGCTTGCTTTTTCTGTCTTCCCCAGGTACCATAGCTGACAGTTGTTATATTTATGTTGCATTATGTTGCATTGATATTAGCGCCTCATTACAGTGAAACGCTGACATCAGACAGCATTCTCGGACAGCATTCAAGGAAAGCGCTGCTCTCTGCTTTTTCAAAGGCTGACCTCTCTGGGAGACGGAATGCTGAACTAAATGGGCTGCAACAGCATTGCTATTGCTGTATTCGAGTTGGTTAGTTAACTCATTTTAATCAGCAGCGTACCTTAAAATACAATATTCCCATCCCAAATACAAGTGAAAGTCTTAGACCTACTGGCTGTGATACATAGTTTTCAGACTAACTTCATCTTAATTTTTTCAGGCTACGGAACTTTTCGATCTTTTTTTCTTTCCTTTTTATCCCCCATGCAGAGGTTCTATATATTTTTGACTGGGATACCAGTGGCAGTGTTCATAACATATGTGAACATCTTCATTGGTGAGTGCTCTGTCATGTCATGCTTAACGTAAGTACACAGTGAAATTACTAAATGGGTAAATGGAAACTATGCATGCTGGATAGAAAATGCAGCTCTTTTATAGCTTGTTCTTTGGAAGATCATGAAATAGGCCTAACAATTTTGATGATGTTCTATAAGTACACAGAGGATGTTTCCAGTTTCTTTCTCTTTCTGCAGTTCTTGAATTTTGTAAAAGCTTTCCACAGTTTTAAAAACTGACAAATTCAAATGGAGAGTAATCATGTTACTTTTGTGCTAGTTTTTTGAGCAGCAATGATGTTTAGCGAACGGTTTTACTGTATTCAAATGAGGAGTCTTTCTTACCTTGTTTTACATGCTTCTGCAAGAAAGCTGCATACACTGCAATTATGTGCAATGCAAAATATGCAAAAAACCAATTCTGCTTGGCAATGTTTGTTTTAAATCTATGACTGTAATATTTACTATTGAGTTGACTTAGTTGAGAGATTATAGGAAAACATACTTTCGTCTCTTATACTTTAAATGGGCATTTTGTACGGTCTTGATCTTAGTTGTTTCTTCTGTGTAGTTCTTAATTCCACCCTTTCATTTTGTGGTTTAAAATCTATGAGCTAGATGCATCTAGCATGAACTGTCCGAAAAAATACAAGAAGTCCTGTTTTTCTGAAGAGAGTTCAAATGGAGGGAGTACTCTCCATGTGAAATAGTGTTGCTTTTTATGTGGAAGGCAGAATGGGTACTTTAAAAACTAGTTGTATGAAATGTTCCTCTCCTTCTTGTCAGGTGAAGCTGAACTTGCAGAGATTCCCGAAGGTTATGTTCCAGAGTATTGGGAATACTACAAAGTGAGTGTAACTTGTGAGAGGGTGTTGTTAGGGATAGCCTTCCTCTTAATATTAGTTTTGGAAGGAACATGTGTGGAGTATGATAATAGGGATGGCCATATCTTTGCAGCTGGGTATCAGAGTAGGGTAATATCACTTGAATTGTCGATTATAATTTTGGCAGACTTGCTGTTTTAACTTTATGAAACATGCATGTTGCTGTAGGCAATCTGTTTATTGACAAAAATAGTTGCAAATGATCTGCAATTATATGCAAGTAAACTGCTGAAGCTAGATGGCAATCTTTTGTAACATTCCTAAACAGTAAGAACAGTCTGCATGAGTCACAAACAGAATTTCTCTTTACTTTTGACATCCGGTTTTTGTCCGTCTCTTTTTTGCTCTTGAGCTACAGCTCTTAAGATACTGCAGTTCAAAGTGACATCACTTACTTCTGTGTTATTTGCTAGCATTGTTTCCAAGTCCAATATGTCTCCTGCTTTTAAGTGTAAAATTGGAGATTTTTATAGTCAGAAAACTTGAGGTCCTAGTTTTTTCACTTTACTGTGTTTTCTTAAAATGAGTCCCTGGCTTCCTGCTGCAAGCTCTTTGTTATTTTTCTGGGAAGCGATTGAATTCATCAATACTATTATGACTGTTGCAACTCATGCAAGCTTTTTTTCCTAGTGCGATGGCTTCTGTGTGGAAGCAGTACTTCAAACTGTTACAGATCACAGCAAGAGGTTTGGAGTTCCCTTCTGTGATTCCAGTGGCAGTTTAAGGAACTTGATTTCAGTAAAACCAAAATAAATTACATTTCTTCCATTAACTTGTTTTTAATTTTGCTGCAGAACATTCTCTTGCAGGTTATATTGGCATCAAAATAAGAAAATGAAATTTAAATGTTTAGGGTTATGATCTTACGGAAAGTTGAGTATGTTGTTAACTTTACTATTACGATTTGAATAGCAGTACTGAATTGCTCACAGGTTTTCAGGATTGGGAACTTGCAATATAATTTATGTACAATGACATTTTACTTGGGAATTATGTGAATAATCTATGCTTTTATATTTGCTAGCACCCTATAAGTCGTTGGATAGCTCGTTACCTCCTTGACCCCCCTGAAAAGAATTATGAGAAAGCCATGGCTCTGCTTGATGTTGAAGCAAAGAAAACTGAACTGAGGTATGGTATATAGTTGAAAAGTTTTTGCAAGGAGATATATACTGTAGTGGACTACTGTATTTTGCTTAAAATGCAAAGTTGGATGCTAACATAATGTACCAGTTTGCTTCTGCATCACTTGACCCTGAGCACTTGCTGCACTGTCTGGTGTTGAAGTGAACAGTTCATGTTTGTAAAGTCGTGACTCTGTGTTTGTGAATTAGGACATGGACAGCTTTTGTGCTTTTGCTACTGCTCATAGCTTAATTGAGTAGATGATTGACACAATTTACCAGATTGGTCATGTTTCTGTCTACTGTTGAAAATTTTGTGGGCAGCAACAACACTGTTGCACTGACTTCATTCTATACTTACTTAGAGTAAACTGTGAGAACAGAAGAAAGTCTGAGTTTCATGAACTGTTGCTTTGGGCCCAAGATAAAGTAGCTCCATCTACCGTCGTGATCAAGTCTGTTTTTTCTACTCTTACTCATTTTTGGTTGAAAGTTTTATCAAAAACTGTGGAGCCCCTCACTAAACAAGAACCTATGAGAGAACTCCTGCAAGTATTTTTATTACTGTTTTGTGAGATGGTTTGCTGGAAAAAAAATTTGAAATAGAAGGATGTAATAGTTGAACCCTTCATATTTTCCTGTTATCTATATTTTGATAGTACTTACACACGGAGATGCTGAACTCATCAGCAGTGCACTAGTGTTACTGTTAAACAGTGATGTCGTCAAAAAAACACCAACTCTTTGTTTGTTTGTTTGTTTGTTTGTTTTTAGGCTGATGGAGTTGGAGGCGCGCAGACTGATGAGAGCAAGGGGAGATGGCCCTTGGTATCATTATGAAACACCCGATAAAAATCTAACTGACGATTCTATGAAAGCCACACCTGACAATTAGGCAGTCTTAAGACAGTATGCAAGGTTTTAAATGAATTACCAACAAGTTGTGACTGAATTATGCAATATGCATCCTGCTGTTCAGTGAATTAAATTAAAAAAAAAAATCGTTTTTGTTGGTTCGAGTAATTGGAAAGAAGCTGTGCAGGGTATAGTTGTTAAACTTATTAATCAGAGAAAAGGCCTCATGTCAGTTGCCAACAGTTACTCTTTTTCTCCGGAGCATCAACACAGAATGGGCTTTGTGACCTGATCTGTGTGAAACAACTTGATAATATTAGAATCCATCATGCGATTTCTCTTACCTAAAGTTGTAAATGAAAGATACAAACAACTGTAAGGCTTTTTTCTTTTATGATGCCTTGTGACAGATAATTTGTGGAAAATGAACCAAATCAGAAGAAAGTCTTTAGGTCTTTGGAATATTGTCACTGTAGACAAGCGCTATCTTTCTCGTTACCTGGAGTCAAACCAGGCTTTCACTCTTTGTTCCAAACTTGCATCTTATTCAGTCAGCTATTGTTTTCCCTGTGTTATCTCAAAAGGTGTCTTTCTTTACCTATCTGTTAATACCCTTATTCTTTGATGGCGTCAGCCAAGCAGCTTCTTCCTTCATTAGTTATTTTGGCACCACTTTTAAACTTTTCCTCTTATTTTTAAGATCATGCATAATTTATGCTTGTCTGTTTTCCCATTTTCTCCAGTCCCACCTCCTTCTGCCTCCTTCTGTACAGCCTATGTTTCTAAAAGACTTTTCTTAGAGACTATTTAAAAAAAAAAAAAAAAGGGAAGGGAAGAAAAAAAGGCTTATCTTTGCTTCTTTCTGAACTGGACACTTCTCCCTTTGTCTAGATCATCCAAAAAGTGAGGTATTCTAAAACGTCTTGCCACGTTGCTCTGTTCTGTTGACACTTTGATTTTTTTCAGTGAGGTACATTTCATATAATACCTGCTTCCTTTTCTAATGGATCTAAAACGGAGCCACATACCCCCTTTGGGGCAGAAAGTGTCTTCATAGATGCAGGTTTAAACCAAGTCAGTGCTCTGTAATACATTAACACTTCAAAAAACTCATACTGAGAGGTACCTACCCGTTATGTTACATAATTTTAATTTTAAAAATGAGTATCGGGTGACTTGGAGAATTGCATGCCTAGTGGTTGTCCAGAGGACTATCTTTTTATATTTTCATGAGGCTTTAGGTTTTTTTTACCTCAGATCCTACCTGTGTTTTGAGAAGGCTGAATTAAGACAGAAACACTTGCCTAAACCTGTAGCGATTACTATCCATATTGTCAGCTGTAGGACTAGAAAGCAAATGAAAACTTCTTAAATATTTAAGAAAAGTGTGTAGTATATATAAACTCAAGTCTTTATGACTTTAAGGCTTTTTGTAAGTTTAAGTCTTTCATGTATTCTTGAAAATATCCTGCAGTTCTTAGGTTAAAGTCTATGGTCTGTCATGTAGAACTTGCTTCATTGTTAGGAAGACTCTAAGCGGGCAAATATGAAACGAAGTATTTTCCTAGTAACTGCTGTATATCTAATTTTTTAGCGATGTAGTGACATTATTGATACTGCTGTTCAACAGAGTTTTCTTACTGTAACAGGCTTAGTAATATGAAGAAGGGAAAAATAGGAAACTGCTTCGTGAAGGTTGTTACGAAAGGGTTGCTTGAAGTCTGAAGAGCAAGGATCAAGCCAAAGAGAACTGCATAGGTAGACATTGATTAATGTTTTTCATGGATAATATTACTGCAGGTAAACAGATACCATCTTCTGCTGTTTGTTGGCAGTTTTTAGCATGTACAAATCAAAGTCCTAAATAACACTCTCAAGGTGAAAATTTCAAAACTTTATACTCCCAAAGTATGTAATATAGAGAGACGGTATAAGAGACTTCACAGATGAAAAAGACAGTCCTCTCTCTGGTAACACTTGAGTGTATTTTAAAGGCTTCTTTTCCAAGGTGAACTGGAATCAAAAAGCAAAACAAAAGAGTTTATATATAAGTTGAGTAGAAATGTGCTCTCCAACTGTGGTTAATCAGGAACAAATTAAGAAATACGTAAGGGGAACGAAGCAAATAGAGATCCAGGATGTTACATAAACAGAATACTGAATATTGGTAATTATCTAGCATGATCTGGTCTGCCTAGCTGGAAGGGGCTGTATATTGTGTATGAAGTCCTATCTCTGTTGATTTTTTTTTTTTTAATATTATCAGTTTCTTCCATAAAATAAGAAATTAAAGATGGTGTAAATGAGGAATGATCCTCATACAGTTTTAACACCTATTTAGTCAATTGCTGCATGTTAGTGAAGGTATAGAAGTTACATACAGAAAATACCAAACAAGGCAAACAGATAGGAACGGTAGGACTGCAGATGCAAACAAAAAGCTTTGAAATTTAGTTAGTATTACAAGCTTTTTTACTTATTTTGCATTTTGCTACTTTACATTTCTCTGAAGAGTATTACCGTATTCAAAACCAATTTTGTTACAATCGGTTTGCAGATGTTAGCAGAAGTTAGGCCTTTACTGAAGATCAAGTAAGAACATACTTAAATCTGAAACAATTACTTAAGAGCACTTCAAGAGGAGGCTGCCTACTTTCACGTTTGTAAGAATGGAATTGCTTGATGATTTTTATACATGACAACAGTGAACAAGTACCTTCTGGGATAGCATTAGTTGTTTTAAGCTGCATGTGAGGACATCCGTACACGTGCCTGCCATGCATTTTCAAAAGTATGCAGCCTTTCAGGGCTACTAAGATGATGAAGGGACTGGAGCACCTCTCCTATGAGGAAAGGCTAAGGAAGCTGGGACTCTTCATCCTGGAGAAGAGAAGACTGAGGGGGGATCTGATCAATGTGTATAAGTATCTGAAGGGAAAACAGCAAGAGGATGGGGCCAGACTCTTCTCCGTGGTGCCCAGCGATAGGACAAGAGGCAACGGGCACAAACTGAAACCCAGGAAGTTTCATTTGAACATGAGGAAAAACTTTACTGTGAGGGTGGCTGAGCACTGACTGGCACAGGTTGCCCAGAGAGGCGGTGGAGTCTCCATCCTTGGAGATATTCAAGAGCTGTCTGGGACAGGGTCCTGGGCAAAGTGCTCTAGGTGACTTTGCCTGAGTGGGGGGGGGGTTGACTAGATGATCTCCAGAGGTCCCTTCCATCTGCAACCATTCTGTGATTCTGTGATTTTTCTATACCACTTTTGGAAAAAAAAAAGTTGGGAATAAATAGGTTACTCTTTTTTTCTGACAGGCTTTTGCCACTAGAGGGATACGTTTCCTCAGGTTCTAATGGCCATAGTATTCCTCTAGTTTTAAATCCCGTAACAGAGGGAAAGACTGTGCCTTTCTTAGTTTGTGACCCTACATTACCTGTTCACACTGAAATTTCCACTTTTTTTTTTTAAAAAGGAAGTAAGCCCAACCTCTTTGGCAAATCCTGGTCATCTTGTGGTTTCAGACTGCTAAAACCTAATTAATTACTTTCATTATATTGAGCAATAGTACATAGAATATTTGAAGTAAACACTCATTTGCTGTTTCCTAACACTGCCAAACATTAGGAAGACTCTAATTGATTTAGGATTTCTTATGTTATGATCCGTTGATGTAAATTCTATTCTTGTGGAAGTCTAAAGCCATTCCATTGAGCTCATATTCTGCTTGCGGTATTTCACAGGCTTCCCAACACTTGATTTTGCTTGAAAAATTGCTGAGACGAGGCTATACTGGTTAGCTTACGCTCGCAGCCCATTTCTTTATTGCTGGATACGAACCTGTGGTTTTTCAGCTCTGTTGTTAATTCAGAACCACCTTTTGAACCTTTAGTTTTTGAGGTTAAAAGTGCTCCTAGCAAAGGTCACACGTACACAGATTGCTGTGAAGTGTTACAAACTTTTATTTTCAATTGCCTGCTTGCAGGTGGTCCATGAGCCCTTGGATTTAATGTCAGCTACAGCCGGAAGGCCACTCATCTAAATTATCTGGCTTTAATTTTAAATGGACCAGTCTTTTCTTTAATCCTGCTGCTGCTAATCCTGTCAGGCGTACGCAGTTAGATATCGTTTGAAAAACCTCGTGATTTCGAGTAGGGTACTTTCAGTTACTTCCCTCTTCCTCTACTGCTATCGGTATTCTGTCACAGTGAGAAGAGCACCCCTGCAGAAGTGGGAGAAGGTCACCGTAGACTTAAGACACTGTGCCTCAGCACCGGACATCCGCGTTCAGCCGCGGGCACTGCCGCAGGCTCCCACCGTCGCCTCACGCAGAGCAGTTTAACTCCCCTGGGCATCGCTTCCACCTTACCAGCTGTTTCGCTTCGCCGAGATAACTCATACACCGTTCAGGCAGGGGCGCTGCCTTGTTCCGCTGAAATACAACACCCTCCGTAGCGGGGTGGTGACAAATCCGCTCGTACGCGCAGAGAAAAACCTGTACCCAATCTACGCCGTATCACGGCTAATTGGGGGGGGGGAGGGGGAGGGGCGCGGCGGCCCCTCA